AAACCTTGTTGTAACTATTTCTTTCTTTCTTTTTTTTTTTTTAACACTGCTTTGGCAAGGGAATGAGTTGGGGATGCTTTCTAATTATCACCAAGTAGAGTTAGAAGTTCAAGAATGCCACCTGGCCATTACTGACACCTGACAAGTCGGCTTTGGTTGGGGCTTTCCTTTGCTGTACCCGCTGGTTATTTCCAGGATGCTGGCTTTTCAGTTCCAAGACTGGGATACACAAGGCAAAAAACTAAAATCCAGAAAACTCACCAGCATGTTGTTCTTTGGGTCCTGAGGTCCCTAGCTAGTCTAGTGACCTCTAGTGATTGCAATAAAAATTCTTCTTGTTTTATATAAATTTGTCCACGAACTTTAGTTGTACTTAGTGGGAAGTTGTACTTAGGTGTTCCCACCACTTGAACGGACCAAGTTATACTAGGGATAACAGCGTAATCCTATTCTAGAGTCCATATCGACAATAGGGTTTATGACCTCGATGTTGGATCAGGACATCCTAATGGTGCAACCACTATTAATGGTTCGTTTGTTCAACGATTAAAGTCCTACATGATCTGAGTTCAGACTAGAGTAATCCAGGTTGGTTTCTATCTATTTACAAGTTTCTCCCAATAGGAAAGGACAAGAGAAAAAAGGCCAACTCCCCTTCAGAGCCTTAAACCCAACAAATGCACTAACATTAATCTACTAAATTATTTACCCTACCTACCCTAGAGCAGGGCTAGTTAAGGTGGCAGAGCCTGGTAATTGCATAACACTTAAAACTTTACCCTCAGAGGTTCAACTCCTCTCCTTAACATTTCATGTTCATTATAAATGTACTCACATTAACAATTCCTATCCTACTAGCAATAGTATTCTTAACCCTTGTAGAACGAAAACTCCTAGGATATATACAATTACAAAAAAGCCCAAGTGTAGTAGGCTCCTATGGCATTCTCCAACCATTTGCTGATCCACTAAAACTGTTTATTAAAGAACCTATGCGACCACTAGCCTCTTCCCCACTACTATTTTCCATCACCCCAACCCTAGCACTCACCCTAGCTCTCATTATATGAATCCCATTCCCAATACCACAACCCTTAATCAATATAAACTTTGGTATCCTATTTATCCTAGCAACCTCTAGCCTATCCGTCTATGCCATCCTATGATCAGACTGATCATCAAATTCTAAATATGCCCTAATCGGACCACTCCGAGCAGTTGCACAAACAATCTCATATGAAGTCTCCCTTGCCATCATTGTCCTATCAGTAATACTTATAAACGGATCATTCACATATTCTCACTAATCACAACACAAGAACACATCAGACTCATCATCCCAACATGACCACTAGCCATGATATGATTTATCTCAACATTAGCAGAAACAAACCGAGCCCCCTTTGACCTAACCGAAGGGGAATCCGAACTTGTATCAGATTCAACGTAGAATATGCCGCTGGACCATTTGCCCTATTCTTTATAGCAGAATACATAAACATTATTATAATAAATGCTCTCACAACAATCATATTTCTAGGAGCATTCCACAATCCCCTAACCCCAGAACTATACAAAATCAACTTCACCATCAAAACCCTTTGCCTCCCCATATTATTCCTATGAATCCGAGCATCATACCCCCGATTCCGATATGATCAACTCATACACCTACTATGAAAAAACTTTCTCCCACTTACCTTGGCTGCCTGTATACTATATGTATCCCTCCCCACTGGCATATCAAGCATCCCCCCACAAATATAGAAATATGTCTGACAAAAGAGTTACTTTGATAGAGTAAAACATAGAGATTTAAAATCCTCTTATTTCTAGAGCTATAGGAATTGAACCTAATCCTAAGAACTCAAAATTCTTTGTGCTACCGTCTTACACCTAACTCTAAAGTAAGGTCAGCTAAATAAGCTATCGGGCCCATACCCAAAAATGTTGATTTATACCCTTCCCATACTAATTAAACCCATTGCTAAATTAATTATCCTACTCACCATACTTATGGGAACAGTAATTACAATAATAAGTTCCCACTGACTAATAATATGAGCAGGCCTAGAAATAAATATATTAGCATTCATCCCCCTACTAATTAATAAAGGAAACCCATGATCTACAGAAGCAGCAACCAAATACTTCATAACACAAGCTACAGCATCCATACTACTCTTAATAGCAATTGTAATCAACTTACTAGATTCAGACCAATGATCTATCACCTATATACAAAACCCGATTACATCTTTCATAACCCTAATAGCATTAACTATAAAACTCGGACTAGCCCCATTTCACCTATGAGTACCAGAAGTCACCCAAGGAACTACCCTTGTATCTGGAATACTACTACTAACATGACAAAAACTAGCCCCAATCTCCATCCTATATCAACTAACACCATGAATCAACCACTAACTCATTATATCAATAACTCTACTATCAATCATAGTAGGAGGCTGAGGAGGACTAAACCAAACACAACTACGTAAAATCATAGCCTATTCATCAACTGCCCATATAGGATGAATAATAGCCATCATCTCGTATAACTCTATAGCCTTCATACTAAACCTAATCATTTACATTCTACTATCACCATATTTACAATAATTAACTATAACTCAAACACCAATACACTAACCCTAGCCCACTCCTGAAACATTACCCCAGTAATAACCCTAATATTGCTCATCTCACTCTATAACTGGAGGACTCCCACCACTAACAGGATTCTTACCAAAATGAATTATCATTAATGAATTAACAAAAAATAACCTAATCTTAATACCTACAATCATAGCCATACTAGCCCTACTAAAGTAGGGAAAAGTATGCCTACTCCATCTTCCTGGATGTAGAAGTCAAAAATCTACATAATTAGTTTTAACACTAGTCAAAGGAGTATGACTGAGATTTTTAGAATCTGACTAAAAATACATACAATAAAGCAACTCAGAAATTGTAATTTTGCATTTCATCTACAAATTCCCTATTCACCGACGTCATAGATCTTAAATTCATTTTTGTAGGTTACTAAGAACAAAATGCGTTTCAAATATTTAATCTCAAATGCTTACTTGCTTACCCAGATTCATTCCTTGAAAACTGTTATTAATTTATGGCACTATTTTTCATTTTCTGCAAGTCCTATACTTAGTTAGCAATTTTTTTTTTTAAAGGAATGGTGAACTACCCCCAAACATTTTCCAGGATTACTTTGAAGCCTTATTCACATAGTGCATAGAGTGAAAAACTGATCCACAAGAGTGAACCTACAAATCAAGAAAATATATCTGCTGGCAGATCACAGCATCCCAACTGTGGCAGCATGGCACAGACATGATTTATCACTGAGCTCTTGCCACTCTTCCACTGCTTCCTGTTCTCCAGCCACGCACACATAGCATGTTATCAAACACAAACACTTCATCAGAGCCACATCTTTCTACCAGCTATTCCTTATGCCTACGGTGACTTTCACACTCCATTCTTTTTTTTTAAACCATGAGTTCAAAGCTTGCCTTTCTTTTATCTACAAAGTTCTCTCTGACCCTCTCCCTTAGGTTGAGGGAGATCGTCTTCAATAAGCTCCTAGTGTATACTATTCTCATAAGACTGCCACTGTATTATAATTACTACACCCTGTGGTTAGGAATGCTCTTCATGCAACCCTGGAACCTGTCACTGGGTCTCATCCCAACAAGTATTAATTAAATGTTTTTTCAATTAAAAATTAATTAATGCAACACTGTTCTATAAACTGAAAATTATTATAAATGTGCCTTGCTTAGGAAAATTGAGACCACAGGAACGGTAAACCAGGGGTGATGATTCAGTTTATGTAAATTTATATATTATTCAGTTTATATAATTAACTATAGGTTTCTTCTCAATTCAAAGTTCACTTGATTATTTACTTGAGAGTTTAATGATCTTGTACTTGTTATGGCACAGCTGCTAGGATAAAAGGCAAACAAGATGGTCCCTTCTCTTGAGAAAATAACTAGCTGTTGAAGAACAAAGACATATTTATGCATTAGATATGTATGTATTAGAATATGCACAGAAAATAATGCAGAGGAATATAATGCAGTAAACTGTTAACTGAGTTTTCTTTAGGGTCTTGAAGAGGAGATAAGGGGCACTCGCATTTTCTATCCTTTGCATTTCTGCACTATCTGAATTTTTCAGACATAAGCATGTGTTACTTTCCTAAGGAGAAAAAAAGAAGGAAGGTTTTAATTACAGTAGCCTTCTTATCCATGGGGGATACATTCCAAGATCCCTGGTGGATGCTAGGGATCAGACAGTATGGAACCCTAAATATACTATGCTTTTTCTATACATATACATCTATGGTAATGTTTAATTTAAAAATTATCAATTATAGGTTACTAATAAAATAGAACAATTATAACAATATATTTTAATAAAAGAGATTTCAAAATGCTACTCAGAATGGTGCTTAATTTAAAATTTATGAATCACTTATTTCTGGAAGTTTCCATTTGGTTCCTGGTTAACTGAAATCTTGAAAAGCAAACTGAGGATAAAGAAGGGACTCCTGGATAGCCAATGCTAACAGGACTGCCTTGTTTCATTTAAATTAAGATTTGATTTACATAAGAATAGTTAAGGTTCTAAAATGTATCTCAAAGGAAGGGATGACGAATCTTTTGGACACTAAAAAGTTCATGATGGGCTTTTAACTTGCACTCCTAGCCTTTAACTCGTTTATCCTTAGCTACCAAATTCATAAATTACTTGTAAAAATAAAGTACACACCTTGCCTTGTGATCACTCTTGTGTTGAGAAAGAAAGATGCACTTTACACTAGCCATTCAGCGATACCAACACTTCTAATCTGGATTTCAGTGAGGACACTAAATGATCTTGCTGCTTTAAGAGGCATCTGAAAGTGATGTCACCATGTTACTCCGTAGAACTGAGAGGAGCGTCTCTGTTCCTTTCCAGGACGACACTACCTTTTTGTCGTAGTCACGGTCCCACATGTCATTAATAGTACAGCCTGCTCCACGCATCAGGATAGCTCCAGTGCCAAAGAGGGCTAACATGTGCCAATCTGGAAAACAACCAGGTTCAGCTGCCAAACCGATGCTCCAGGTACATGGCAAATAAAGTAGCCAGGTTCCTAAGCAAAAATAAAAAGATAAAAAAGGTAAAACTTCAAGTCAGTTAATTGTCTTCATTCGTTTAATTACATGTCCCAATGAAGTAAAGAACACTACAGGCAAAGTCAGAAAACACTAACAAAACTGGGAAAATAAATTTGCAAGTCATACTAAAGTATTCTCTTAATATGCAAAGAGCTCCTAGAAATGGAGAAGAAAAAGATCAGTAGTCCTGATGCACGGTTGACACGTGCAGGAATTTCAGATGCTCAGGGTTCTTGAGCCTGCTCTGAGAATGAAAGCACAGACAGACTCTAACAGCAGAGGTCGGAAAGATTTTATTTGCAGAGAATTTAGTTGCAGAAAAGAGAAGAGAAAGACTGCATATTGGAGAATGCAGGGGGACCCGGAAACCGGTGATCCTGTGGGTCAGGTTGGGGAGTGGGGTTTTATAGCCTATTTGCAGTGCCTGATGGCAGGAGATGCCTTTTAGATGCAAACTGACATTTCCTAGGGAGAAGTGTCTTCTTGACTACTTATCGCCTTTTGGGACCTCCCGCAGTCCAATTAAGAAATGGACAAGACACAATAAAAGTTCACAGAAAAAGAAATTCAAGTAAATGGCTCTTATACATATGTAGAGATACTCAACTATGAGAAACAGACATTAAAACTACATTCTGATAACAATATTTTCACCTATTATATTGGCAAAACCCAAAGTCTGACACGTGAACTTTGATAATTTACTTCTAAAAAAGTTTTTCAACTAATGTTTGTATATGATGCTTATTAGATAAATTATAAGTTTTCTAAGTTTTAATTCCCTATTTAGAGATATAAGAGAAACGGGATTTGGGGTAAAGATCGATCAAATCCTTCAGAAAAACGGAGAAATGACTAAAGTCCTGTTAGGGTACCTTTGAGGCTTGCAGCCCACTCAGCCTGAAACCGGCCATGGCTAACATGACCCAAGCCACCACTTATAGGAACTAAGGGAGGTGGGATGGTTTCTGGGAACAGGGACTGTTTCTGGTTAATCTTGCTAAACGGTATGAGTTAAGACACCCACCTGGTGTTTATCAAGTTCCTGATAAGTAATCTTTAAGTAATCTTGCCCCACCACCAGGATTTGGGTGATATCAGAAATATGTGACCCCAGGGGCCATAAAAATTGCTGTGTGACCATGACTAATATTTAAAAAATATAAAAGCAGCCTGAATTTTGTATTCGGGGGTCCTCGTTGAAACCCGCTGCGTCGGGCGGATACCCGGACCCCAGCTAGTTGGAAAATAAACCTCGCTTTGTGGCTTACATTATCGTGAGTGTCTTTTGTTCCTCTGAGGGGTGGTTGACCTTGGACCCCAACATCTGGAGGTCCCACCGAGATATCGGCCCCTCTCTGAGAGGAACAAATGGCCTCCGATACCGAGGTTTAGTTTAGAAAGACCACGGAAGGAGGATTGGCCACCTCCGTTTGGAGGGACTTAGAGTCCCTGTCTGAATTTGGTTGAGAATTCTCGTTGAGTGGAAGGAAGGGGTCACAGCCCTGGAGGCTCCACTATTGGAAGTTGTGGGAGACATCCCCAGCGGTCAGGAACCGCGCCAACGTCCTCAGTGTACGCCGTTTGGGCGGTCTTTGGGTAAGGATCCTGAATCTGGTGTCAATGGAATTACGCCTGTGAGAGTAGTCTGGTTGACCGGCCGGTACTTGTGCATGTTAGAGTCCTGTGCGAATTTGTTTGTCTGCTGGAATTATCTCTCTTGTTCTTTGTTGTCTCCTCTGTCCCTCTCTCCTGATCATCATGGGACAGGCTCATGTAACTCCTAAGACCCTCTTTCTGAGTCATTTTTCAGAAATCCATGCTAAGGGACACAATTATGGCGTGGAAATTAAGAAAGGTAAGTTTAACACCCTTTGTTCAGCAGAATGGCCAACCTTCAATGTAGGCTGACCTCCTCAAGGTACCTTCTCCTTGGACACAATTAAGAAGGTCCGAGACGTCATTAATAGATCTGGTCTTCACGGCCACCCTGATCAATATCCCTATATCCTTATGTGGCAGACTTTGGTAGAGGACCCTCGTTCCTGGCTGCAGCCATTTATCCATGAGTCACCTGCAGACCGGCCTATGATACTGGCCGTGTCAGGGAACACCCTCATTCCCATTACTTCCCCTAAAAAGCCTATTCTACAGGAAGAACCGATTCTCCATCCGTCCTTGATAGACTTAGATTTTGAAGTAAATCCTCCGCCATATGCTGCTGCCGCGCCACTCCAGCCAGAGGCAGCTGGCCCCCCTGAGCTTCCCCACTCGTCAGCCTCCCCGTCTGCACCCCCTGCCCCGTCTCCGGACTGGCAAGGGGACTCAACCCCGTAGGCAGCCAGAGGAAACCCCAGAGGACGAGCCCTCCTCCACTTCCACCGGGGCCCCCATCCTCCCGGTGCGGACCCTGGGTGGTGCTGGTCCTGATGGGGGACGCACCTATAAGTATTGGCCTTTTTTCAAGTAGTGACCTATACAACTGGAAAGCCCAGAATCCTCCTTTTTCTGAGGACCCCAGAGGCCTGACTGATCTGTTCGAGTCCATTTTGCATACTCACAGTCCCACATGGGATGACTGTCAGCAGCTCCTTAAGACTCTATTCACCACTGAGGAACGGGAGCAGATTCTCACTGAAGCCAGAAAGAATGTCCCCGGCGACAGTGGACGACCAACCACCCTGCCGAACCTGATTAATGATCGTTTTCCTTTGAACAGACCCGAATGGGACTATGGGGACACAGAAGGTAGGGAGTGTCTCTGGGTCTGCCGCCAGACTCTTATGGCAGGCCTCCGGAAGGCAACTCACCGCCCTGCCAATTTGGCTAAGGTAAAGGCAATAATGCAGGGGGAAAATGAAAACCCAGCCACATTCCTTGAGCGTCTTTACGATGCATACAGACAGTATACCCCCCCAGACCCACAAGCAGAGGTGAATCAGTCAGCCGTGATAATGTCCTTCATAAATCAGGCTGCCCCAGATATCAGAAAGAAACTATGTAAGCAAGAAGGACTTGGGGAAATGACTATCCGGGATCTGATGAAAGTAGCCGAAAGGGTTTTTAACACCCGAGAAACCCCAGAAGAACGAGAGGATAGAATCAGGAAGGAGAATCAGGAACTACAAGAAAGGATTCGGAAGGAGAACAGGGAACACCAGAGTAAGGAAAACAAGAAACAGCAAAAGGAGATGGCTAAGATATTGCTAGCAGGAGTCCAGGGTCTGGCTGGACCAGCCCCACATGTCCCCGAAGAGATCGACCCAGGTTAGACCAGGGACAATGTGCCTATTGTAAGGAATATGGACACTGGAAGAAGGAATGTCCCAAACTCCAGGGTTGCCTGGGACCAAATAGCAGGCCCAATAATGACACCCAGCTCCTGTTAGCCGGAATGGACAGTGACTAGAGGGGAGGGGACTCAGATCCCCTCCCCGATTCTTGGGTAACCGTATATGTGGAGGGGAAGCCCGTGAGATGCATGGTGGACACAGGGGCCCAATATTTAGTCCTTAATAAACCTACTGAGCCACTGTCCCAGAAAATTAGTCTCATAGAGGGAGCCACTGGGTCCAAGGCATATCAATGGACTAGCAAGTGTCAGGTGGATTTGGGCTGACGTCAGGTGACCCATTCCTTTCTGGTCATTCCTCAGTGCCCTGCCCCCTCTTCTGGGACATGATCTGCTAACTAAGGTGAGGGCTCACATTCACTTTGAGCCGGACGGTATCAAAGTGACAGATGGACAAGGACAGCCCCTCCAAGTCTTGACCATGTCTCTCGAGGATGAACATCGCTTGTTCTCCTTGCGGGACCCTCCCCCGAAACCTATTGAGTGGTCCCCTGAAATGGCTTATTGGATTCAAACCTACCCCCAGGCTTGGACAGAAATAGCAAGTATGGGGCTGGCGGAACATCGAGCCCTGGTAACAGTAGAGATCAAGGCTTCGGCTCAGTCCATCCGAGTCCGTCAGTATCCCATGTCTTCTGAGGCACGGAGGGGGACTGCCCCTCACATTAACCGTCTCCTGGAGGCCGGAATATTACGGCCTTGCCGTTCTGCTTGGAACACTCCACTCCTCCCTGTTAAGAAACCCAGGGGAAAAGACTATAGGCCAGTCCAAGATTTAAGGGAAGTAAACAAGAGGGTTGAGGACATCCACCCCACAGTCCCCAACCCCTATACCTTGCTGAGCCATTTGCCCCCCTCCCATGTTTGGTATACTACTTTGGACTTGAAAGATGCTTTTTTTAGCACAGCCCTGGCACCCAACAGTCAACACATTTTTGCCTTTGAATGGCATGATGAAAATACGGGAACCCCAGGACAGCTAACATGGACTAGACTTCCACAAGGTTTCAAAAACTCCTCTACTCTGTTCAATGAGGCTCTTAATCAGGATCTGGACTCGTATCGCCGGAGCCACAGTTCCGTCACACTTTTGCAATATGTAGATGACTTGCTTCTGGCAGCAGCATCTGAAACTGAGTGTCGGCAAGCCACTGGAGACTTCCTCCAGGAGCTGGGGAACTGGGCTATTGGGCCAGTGCGAAGAAGGCTCAAATTTGTAGATATACAGTCACCTACCTGGGGTATGAACTAAAAGAGGGAACCAGATGGTTAACAAATGCTATGAAAGAAACTATTCTCAAACTCCCCGTCCCCACCTTGGCTCAAGAAGTCCACGAGTTCCTGGGGACGATGGGCTACTGCCGGCTGTGGATATTGGGGTATGCTGAACTGGCAAAACCCTTATATGAGGCAACTAAGGACAAGGCCCCTTGGGCTTGGGGGCCAGATCAACAAAAGGCCTTTGAGGAGCTCAAGACCGCCCTCCTGAGAGCCCCAGCCCTGGCACTGCCAGACCCTCTAAACCCCTTCACCCTCTTTGTAGATGAAAGGAAGGGGATAGCGAAAGGGGTACTAATGCAGCGCCTAGGACTCTGGAAGCATCCAGTTACTTATCTATCCAAA